AATGGAAAAACCTTCTGAGCGTTCGTCAAGAATTTATATGATCAGTACAGCGTTATCGTTGTCTGATTGAAGTGATTCTGGTATTCCTGTAGTTATAGGACTACTGTATAATTCTAACGAGTACGATAAACATCTATCGTATAAAGAGCTCGTGAAAACAGCCTTATTGGAAGTGTTCTGACTTTGTGCGCAAACGCATATGAAGGAGATATAACTGGTGCTAGTGATGAACCACACTGAACGAAAACATTTGACATAATTGTAGATGTACGGGATATTCAAACTTCATTTTTAAAATCGTTGTCTACTAATAAAAAGAAAACGAGGAGGTGCAAGGAAAATAAGGTTTTCTTATTCTTATAAAGGAGGGCTTTAACTTTTCTATGCTATACTTCGAGAAGTTTTTGCCATTTTCATGTCTGGCCAACCTTGATTGATCGTCTCAGTTAAAGTGAATGCATGGAAAAAGATTTAGCATATTAAGGAGTTTATTTAAGGAATATCTGCAAGTTAGGCTCACTGGAAGTTCCCTTTTTGCAATAGCAGATTGCTGTCATCCACAAAAATCTCATAAACCTGGCATATAACGTTTACAAAAAGTGGAGGCGTGGAACACAAGGCAAGGACTGGGCGGACTGGACAGTCTGAAAATGCACCAAAAGCCACTCCGGCGCCTGAGTTTACGTAGAGAGAGAGAGAGAGAAAGTTCACTACGTTGGTTGCTCTTATCTATGCCTTTCACCAGGTTCAGGAGTTTTGCTTTCCAACAGTATGTCGCAGTATGCGAGGAATATGCCACTGGAGCTTCCTGGTTGTTCAGGCAGAAACGTAAGTGAGTTCGGGAGTGTTTGCAAATGAAAATGGATAATCGTGAGACCTCCGGGTGTCATGCACTGAGAGCCATGGGATACGAAGCTCGCCTAATCGCCGATGGGCCACTGCATCTGTCTGCAGCTAAGGACAGCGTTGTGTATTTTGCGACACGCCAGAAAAGTTTTTGGTTGCATAAGTTAAAGGATACGGTATACACCGCGGCACAGGTACTAGCCAAAGGCCCACTTCATTAAAAAAATATATCCTGCGCCCTCAAGTGAATTGATTTATTTCAAGTTAGCAATAATTTTCGGAGGAGATTTAATGAGCGTCAATGTGTAATTGGGTTACAGCACAGATGGTAAAATACAAATCTAAATTCTCTGGCCGTATGGGCGTTGTTGTAGGAACATTTTCCACTGACAGTCAAATAAGCGTTAAGTGAATTTCAGTATTTCGATTTGAAAAAGCTACGGCTTCCTACTTCAGACATGGCTGTCTATTCAGCAAGAAGCATATTTGTTAGACGAACAAAACAGAATGTGATACGATTGGCAAAAAGATATGGATTAAAATAAAAAAGACAGTGAACGTGAATGAAAACAGTTTCCGCAAATTCTGATCGCATCAGACAATCAAATTTTCCTGCCGTAAAAAAACAAGGTGACTAGGGAATTAAAAAAATAGGCAACATTCCCCAGTGGGTTCCTACGGCGAAGTTGTTCACTAGGTGCAAATACCTAACACACACGGCTGATAAAACCGCGTTTTCATGTCCAATACGGGTCAATGGTATATGGTGCAGGCAGAGACTAACACTGCATGGAAGCGAATGTACGAGTCTCAGGTACTTGTTGCAAAGGAGATCAACGCGCGACCATTGAGATAGTAAGTGTATTGCTTCCATTAATTACCCGCAAAGGTGGGGTGAAAGGTTACTGTCTTCCATCCGCCGTAGCTTTTCTCTCTGTCAATTTGAGATGGGTCAGTATCAGTATCAGTGTATTTCAGGGAAAGTAGGTTTGTATCTTTGAAATCTCTGCTGGTTACATGCAGACGAAGTAAATGGAGAAAGTGGAAAGGAAGTAACATGGAAGAAATACAAGGGGAATAACAAAAACTGTACAGAAGAACACAGGATTTCCTGCGTTAACAGCATTTAGAGACATATGAACTCGGTTTGTTGATTAAATGCAACAGACAGTTGAAGCACACCTAAGATACAGGAAAAGAAGTAAAAATTTTTTAGTCTGCAGGCATCGTGATAAATGCGGACAGCGATGTTGACGTGGCTCACAATTACTACATTACATAAATGTGTGTTACTTAAATGTTGGTAGTAGCATCGTCAGAACACTAACCTGGCAACATCGCCTATCAAGGTGGCTGTAGACTTGCGTTATTGTGGTGCGCGCTGCAATGTTGATCTAGCCTCCGTTTAAAAGTGCCTACGGATCCTGACATAACAACATCCTCAGGCAAAGCATTCTAAGCTGCGACCACTCTGTTGGAGAATAAGAACTTTCGTGTGTCTAACCGGGCACCCGTCACACGTAGTTTGAGCGGATGGCCTCTCAGTTTAGTCGTAGTCGCCAACTCGAAGAAGTCTCTAGATGCGATGCAGCAGTCTTGATTGCGCACGCTGTCTGAAACTCATCGAAAGAGGTCAAGATTAGCTAATCATGTTTCGTAGGATAGTGACCATTGCCTAGATACATGTTTCGTTGTTCGCCGTTGAACTTTTTCGAGTATGCCGATGTCTTTAGCGGTTGAGGCTTTCCATGGTTGGATAGCTAACTCCAGGTACGGTCGCACAAAAGTTCAAAAGACCTTGGCGAAGCAGTCTTCATCGAAGGAGGAGAACGCCCGTTTACGAGGTATAGAATGGACATCGCGTCTTTGGCTACCTTTGAGCATTGCAGCGAAGGCTTAAACGAGGTTGTGATATATACACCCAAGTCCTTCTGGGCGTCGACTTCTTGCAGTTAGACGATAGACCATGCGGTAAGGTGTTCTGAAATTCTACCGCTGGATAAGTCAATTACCAGCCAGACTAAGAGAGGAACAAATTCTACACCCTGCACGCCCTCCTGGCTACATCGATGTAGGCGGAGAATTTGATTGTCCTTAGTGACTTCAACGCCCGTGTCGGCACAGACCGTGCTACTTGGGGAGGAGGGCTGATTCCCTATGGTCTCGATGGCTTTAACGACAATGGCCTGTCCCGCCCCCCCATACGAACCTGCGCAGAACACCGGCTCGTCCTGACCGACATCCTTTTCCTCTTCTCGATACGAGAGAAGACCACCTGGATGTACCCTCGGTCGAGACACTGGCACCTGCTGGGCTATCTCCTCGCCCGGAGGCGAAACAAGCGGAACGTGCTGGTGACAAAGGCGATTCTGGATGCTGGCGAGTGGACCGACCATCGCCTCGTCATCTCCGAGATGCGGATTTGTCTACAACCTCGATGGAAACCTCAAGTTAAGCGAGCCTCAGGTAAGCTGAATATTGCTTTCTTGTCTTTTCCATCCCACCATCTCCATTTCAGCAACAAGTTGGCTCAACGGCTAGCCAACCTTTCAGTCGTTGCCGTCGCCGCCACCATCGAGGAGACACCGTGGAGGACCCATGGTGTCAGCTGCGGGACACAGTGCAGCCGACTGCACTGTCTGTCCTCGGTTGCGCACGTCGCCGACATGATGACTGATTCAATGAAAATGACGCCGTCATCAACAACCTGCTCGCCAAGAAGAACCGCCTGCAAAAGCCTACGTAAACCCCTCCACCAGCGACAACAAAGTGGCCTTCTACTGAAGTCGCCGCCTTGTTCAACAGAGGCTGCGCGAGAAGTGGGACACCTGGACGGCCCGCAAGCTGAGGAGATCCAAAGTTACGCGGACCGCAACGAATGGAAGAATTGCTTCTCCACGATCAAGGCTGCCTACGGTACGCCAATCGAAAGAACTGCTCCTTTTTTCGGCGCCGACGGCAGAACCATACTCACCGAGACGACACAAGTCCTACAGCGTTGGGCCGAGCACTTCCGAGGCGTCCTTCACCATCTCGGATGTCGCCATCGCCCATCTGTCTCAAGTGGAGATTAACTTCGATCTCGACCTTTCGCGCTTTCTACACGAAATCATCAGGGCCGTGCAGCAGCTCTCCAGCGGAAAAGGACCCAGATCGGACGCGATCCCCGCTGAGATCTAAAACCACGATGGCTGCCACCTTGTGGATCATTTGACGGCGCCCTTCCAGAGTTGTGACGTCAAGAAGTACCACAGGGTTTCTAGGACGCCACAATCATGCGCCTCTACAACCGGAAAGGGAGTCGTCAAATCTGCGGCAACCACCCTGTTAAAAATTTTTCGGACCACATGGCGTGACTGTCCAGTGAACTGTAAGACGTGTTAGCTCACGAATAACGAAGCACAAACGGGCAGTCCGGAGAGGTGATCCAATTCCTCAGGAGATTCATTTTCTCACTGGAGAAAGGTGGTCACAAATTCAGCTTCGCGAGCAAGTGGAGAATGGAGCGAGGCAGCAATTAGACAGTGGCTAGAACTCCTAGAGGCCTGGGTGTCTGACACCAACTCCATTAACAGATTCGTTGATATACCCCTACTGCTATCACGCGTTCCGTTCACGAGGCCAAGAGGCGAGACATAACTGATTAACAGCATTCTTCGGCATTCAATCGACATACAGCAACGTTTGGCGTGGATATCCCTCATAATCCAGTAGCTGTCATTAGCGGCATGCAACGGAGTGTGCTGCGTGTCCGGCCATGTCAGCCACCTGCACCCTTTCAAGCCCCGCGGTCTTGACGTTGTCTAAACACCGCGTTCAGGTGGGGACGAGAGGGTACGGTAGATGTTGCGAAAGTCCACTCTCGCAATAGACTAATTCACGCACAAGGCACCGTTCCTGCTCCAAAATGCTGTGGGGTATATTGTAAACATCGCCTGACACGACGGTGAACTCTCAGAACTCGGCCAGTGCTGTGTGAGTTGGTTTCATTTGTCTTCTTTCGTCTATCGAGATCACAGTCCGGTTATCGCACGCTCTCCTTTTCTACATCGAGAAACTGGGACTCCAAAACTCGTCTCCATCTTACAAAATGCGTCGGCTTTAATTGAGCACACGCTGATCCAGGAGAATAGTGCCGTAGTAATTCAGAAAGTGTGCTTCGCGTCTAGGCGGTTAGTGCAGTTCACGATAATCGTTTTGAATTTATGCCATTTGGAAATCCGAAGGGATTGAATTTTCAACTTTGCGAGGGAAAGCAAAGCGTGAGAAGACCTGTGATAACGTTTGTGCTTGCTCAACTGCCCTCAGTTTGTATTCCACACACTTTTTGGACATACTGCGTGATTGCAGCCTCTCAACTGGAGTAAGTACTTGTCGAGAATTGTACAATGACCAGAGCATATTATTGACAACTTTCAATTATGATTCCACAGCACTACCCAGACGAAAATAGGCTGACCAATTATGTAAACGGGTTTAATCTGGTCGAGGATTGTCACAAAAGTCGTCAGCGTACACGTCTTCTAGGAAATGTTGGTGCAAAAATATAAACTGCAACTGCCATTGTATGTGGAAAATGTTCACTGGCAAAATACTTTGCGTTTCATCAGATGTTCAGTTTTAACAGGCCTCTCAGGTTAGTCTTGCAACCTGGGTTCTAAATCTTGTCCAACTTCCTTCTCCAGCCAACCATCACCCTGAGAGGCAGTACCACCTTCAGTCTTGTCCAGGTAGTTTCCCGAAAATATAACCTTCATCAAGAGTGATCAGGAATCCCTACCAACTTGGTTGCCCATTCGTCGCTGAAACACGGTGACAAATGCTCATAGCCGAATAAATTGTGACATCCTTCGAAATGTTATGGATTCTAGCAAAAATCGTTAACGAACACGTCTTCCATGAATAGTAGGTGGAAAAATACGGGTTGTAAATTAACTTCGTAAATGGGGTTAATCTGTGTCTGCACCATATACCTTTGCTTCGTTTTAGACATGAAAACGCGATTTCATCGGCAGTGTATATTAGGTATTTGCTCCTACAAGCAACTTCGCCATAGAAAACCAATGGGGAGTACTGCTTGTTTTTCTAAACCACTGGTCACCTGGTTTTGCAGAGCAGGCGACTTGGATTGACGCGCACGATCAGAATTCGAACACTCTGTTTCTCCTTACATGCCTTGTTTTCCGTTATAATCCAAATCGCCTGTCAATTATACCTGTTCTGCTCTGTTCTTCAGGCGAATTATGCTTTCTACTCTATAGACAGCCACGTTCGAGAGAATAACATAACCGCTTTTTTAAAGGGAAAACTGAAATTCACCGAACGCCTATTTGATTGTCAGTGGAAAAATTTTCTTACGACAACGCCCATACGGCCAGAGGATTAAGATTTCTTTTACATTTTCTTTGCAGTTAACCAATCAAACACTTTCTAGGCCTGTACTCAATTCACAGCACTCTGTTCTTATCATACCCACATAGCAAGCATTCCATCTTTGTTTACGCGTCTCACACTAATGATGGGCGGGTGTAGAGGTCCCGTGGTTCACTGGTTCACCGTTCACACTGCTTGTCACCAACCTTCATTGCCCAACACCCGTCTTCCTCGAGATTATTCACCTTCAACTCCAAGGACTCTGGCTTTACGGCTTGGCAGACCTGAGCAATGTCGGGTGTTCAACCAACTTCGGCAATATATGTCCCGCATACCGCATTATACTGCTGGAACGCAAAACTTGTAACTGATAGAATTCTGCAACTGAGTGCAGGCAATATCGTGGACTACACTTATATCGTTGCACTAGGCAGTAGGACACAAGAATTTTGATAAATCACACCCTGGTGTGTTCTAGGAACTGAGTCATTTTTTCACCCGGACCCGGTCATTAGTCCACCGTCAACCACTTATAGTGACACTTCATATGCCCACTTGCTTATTCTAACCGGAAATGATATTACCTGCATTCTCTGCCGTCCCTCCTTGCTGCTATTATGATTTGACTGACTTCGGCCTGGTAATTAGTTGCCTGTTCGTGACATTTGCCACCCATACGGAGCTTGCTTGCTTCGTGAAGCCAATAGATCGGTGTGCGCTCATTCCTGATTGAACAAATACCCGATCTTCAGCGACAGAGAATGATAGGTGGCAAGGCACTGATGCGCTTCGTTTCGAAGAAGTGCCTATGACCCATGTGGTAGACCCCCGTGGTGGATCAACTGTGCCAGGTGCGTGTGTGCACATTTTCGTGTTTCTGCTCCCAGGTGCTGGTAAGCGTTATGGTTGGCTGAATGAATGCAGAATAAGCCCGAAACAGTACTGCATAAATCTAACCGCATTCTCTGTCATCCCTCCTCGCTACTATTATGACCTTACTTTTATGAATTGACTTATAAATATGGATATGAGGGACGCCTCAAAGAAGCAATAAAAGAGGGACGCTTTAAGAAGGAGGCTATGTAATCCGATCGACTGTCAGCCTCCAAAGATGTGATTGCTTGTGCACTTCGACAAGTAACTGTGTGTCAAGTTTATTTGGATAGGAAATTCGCAGAAATTCACCCGGATATGGCGCTTCAGTGTCGATATCGCTTTTTACAATTCTCTCATGCAACAACGGCCTTTGAAGCTTATTGGTTAATTAGTCATGCTAGTGGGTATAGAGGCTAGCGTGTTGAATAGAACTCGTTATTAGCATGCGACGGTTGCACTCACGATCTTGTGTGATAGTTCGTTCGGGGCATCGAAGTTGGTACAAATCACTATGTAGGGTTTATAAGTGACATACGAACGGCTGTGTTGCGCGCGCGTTTATAAGGGGAATATTCTTGCGACAACTGGGTGCGCAAGAACGGTGTGGGTGTTAGGTTAACGATTATTTCCGTACGTGCACATGAGACAGGTCGATGCGGTGGGTTTACGCGAGGATGTAGACTGGAAAAATAAGATGTGAGCGACGGTTGTTGGTTCGGTTTCTAGAGGCGGGTTTCCCAACCGCTGGCAGATGACAGACCAGATCGATGCGTAAACTGAACGCGCTGTGGAGAAGTCGGCACTGGGCTCACGCCTCTGTTATGCGGGCTTTCAAGTTGATGCCCAAAAAACACTTTAATGACTACAGAATGAGTACCAGAAGTGCTAAAATTTGATAAATTTTTCAGGCGACTGCTCCATGGATTAATGATTTAAGGATAGTAAAGTTGTTCTAATTTAAACTTCGTGGCAGCGTAAACCCGTCGTCTTAGGGATCGTAACCTGCCTAGATTCAATATTTGTATTCTCACCCACATCAACGCTGAGTAATAGTGCTAACTCATGAAACGTTAACTTAAATTCTGAAATGCGATTTTGCTTCAAAAAGATACTTACGTGGGAATGTAAAATTAATCAACGTGCAGCATAATTCTATAGTAATTCAGTTACCTCGGGAGGCCGGCTCTCGAAAGAACTTCTTTCTGGCCGCATGCAAAAACCGCACTCTGTTAAATGACTACTTATAAGGCATAGCTTTTTCTGACTTATTTTCGCTGCCTTTGAAAATTTACTTATATTTCGCGACAAACATGCACTTAAAATATCCATTTTTTCACTTATTTGATAGACAATCACTACTTTACCCAATGTTGTACCCTAAAGAGGGGTATAATTCCCTTTAAAAAAGTTTCTAATTGTGAGATGTGTTAATACCGTAAAATGTCCGTTCATAAAGCATCGTTCCTTAAAATTTGCTAATGTAGCTTTTAAAGGTAACAATACGGCTTAAATCTTTTGCCAAATTTTATGAACCCCATGTGGTCTCCTCTCAATACCGGAGAGAAATATACGGTTTTCCGTACGCGGAAGTGTGACGGCTGGTCAGATTCCTTTGAGTATTAAATCGAAAGAAGATGTAATTTTCTATTGAATGAGCAAAAGAATGAATATTTTCTTGCATGGTTTTAAGGGCACGAAAATTAGTAATAAAAATGCATGCTACATAGGTAGTCATTTTTGGCAGAGTATAGTTTTTCCACGCAGCTGGAAAGAAGTTCGTTCGAAAGTGGGCAGGCTGAGGTAACTAAAATATTATGGAATTATTTTGCGCGAGGAATAGTTTACCAACCATGCTTAAGTAATCTTTTCGAAACGAAAACCCGTTTAAGAATTTTGGTAAGCACACCTACTGCAAAAACAGGATTACGCCG